CTTGGCAGCAGATACGGTGCCATCTGTGTCCGCATTAAACTCGTGTTCTGCCGGCAAAACTTGTCGACATAGGTTGACAGCAGATTGGCGGCAGAAAACGAGCAGGATCTGTGCAGTGTAATTTGATGTCAGATTGTCAGCAGAAATCGAGCAGAATCTGCCGTCACAATTTAAATGGAATAGCGGAATTTAAATGCTTCATTACAATTTTACATTTCTCGTTTCGCTTATTAAAAATAGTAAACGAGGTATGCAAAGTATGTAATATATATTTGCTTTATTGGGACGAAAAAAAGCACTTATGTTTTAATAAATTTATTAGGCCAAATCCCAAAATCACTGCAATATCGGGTCAACTCGCGGCGGATTTTCAATTTCAAAAATCAGTTTAATATTTTGAATCTTCTATGAGGATTGCATCAGATTATTGTATTAAACTGATAAGCTTAATTAAGCCGCTGGCCACACTTTATATGCACTGTAGATGAATCTTGAGTACGAGTTTATATATGAAGAAACACGTCGCATAGCGGCAAACAACATCAAATTGCACTGCGCAGATTTTGCTCGATTTCTGCCGCCAATCTAACATCAAACTGCGTTGCACAGATCCTGCTCGATTTCTGCTGTCAATCTGCTGTAATAATTCCGAGCAAATCCTGCTCGATTTCTGCTACTGATCTGCTGTCAAATTATGTCAGCAGGTTTTGTAACATTTCTGCTAATATTCTGCTATCATCATCTGATGTAAAAGATTTTGTATATAATCTGCAGTCTTTTTGTTGACAAAAATTTGTAGCCGACGTTTGGCAATATCTGTTCAAACAGACTTTGCTGACTGGGGAAGTATATCGATTAAGATTTGAAAAAAGATTGCAACATTTTATGACACTAGCGAAAGGGACAGCCTGCGCTTTCAATGCCGCCAATTTTGAATAGAAATTATCGTTGAAAGTCAAACGCGCGTATTTTATCAATAAAATCCATAAAATGCATAACATAAAAAAAATAAAAATACGTCATAACTTCTGTATTTTATACCATTTTAAAATACGATTTCTTTTCAATGAATATTGATTACTGAAAAAAATCTTTAACACTACTTTCAATTTAATTGCCAGAGAAGTATCGCTTCAACCATCTTTGTATTATTTAAAAACATTCCACTCAAATGAAGTGGCTGAACGACATCGTCATAATCAACGCGCGTCCGCGATAGCTTTGAATTTCAGCGCGCGAGGAAAATTCGAAGAATCGCAAAAATCACCCTCACCTGCGTTGCGACTGACTGTTGCTGCAGGTATTGGAGTATCCGGAGTCCGATACCTTGGCGTTTTCCACTGACACTTCCTCCATCGTGCGCTTCCTCTATTTTTGTACTTCACGATTAAAACAATTGTTTTCTATACAAACGAGCGCTTTGCAAAAAATAATCCTCTCTCATCGCCCACACGCACTCACGTCAAGTTCGCCGCTCATCTCACTTTACTTCCGTGAATTCGAAAATTGAGAACGACAGTAAGAAGACGCGCGTATTACATTTTCCATCGGCAATCGCTTGTGCCGTATGACGAGACGCGCGGACGTTATCTGTATGGAATGAGCTGTCGGTTACTGTCGGTGCCGCCAATCCTCGCCGCGAAATCGATTGCACGTTCTGAGACACGTGAGTGCAGATCCGCGCTCGCCCCCCTACGAACCTCATGGTTGGCAGCCTATATCAGAACGGAGCATGCCCCACTTCACGCCGTCTGCACTACCACGCTGGCGCGCAATTAAAATAGGGTCGCACGTTGCATTGACATACGTCACTGATCCTGTTTAACTCTTCGCGTCTGAATATTTTAGCGGAAGACCTTCAAGATATAATACTTAATTATATGCTTTCAGAAGAATTCGGAAGAAGAAAATAATTTTCCTCGGGTCGATTAAAGATATATATTTGCATTATTGTTAGCATTGATATTGAGATATTCTGAAAATATCTATTAAAGAAATATGAAATAAAAGTTAATTAAAAAAAATAAATAAAGAATTAAAAGATCGTTGTATTATTATATTTTCATCATGCGCCGAGCTCCTGGTGACTTTACTACTGTGGGTGTGTTTGAACGTACCTTTATTAATATACCCCGACTAATTTAACCATTTTCTATTTTTAAATTCTTATAAAATGTTTGAGAAAAAGATCACAAAAATATATCGTTAAAAAAATCTGAAATTCGTGAGAAATTGCTATTCTCGATTAAAAATGTGATTAAAATTTATAAAAATTAATTACTAAAAGTACTTTAATAATGTTAACAGTTTTTAAAAATAAAAGTGCGATAACTTGCACGGCTATTCATTCAATTATCTAATGAAAGGCAAATGTTTGTGTTAATAAATTCACGCGCAAATAACACAATCGATATATATATAACTGTATAGAAATATAATAATTTAATATACTCTATAAAACGTTGTCCCTCCATATGTACAATCTCGTAGAAATATTATAATAATCTTATTGTCGTTAGAAATAGTATCACAGTCTTCAGGTACGGTGCTTCGTGGAATCCTCGTGGTATCCTGAAAGCGAGAAAAGCACATGTCAGACCAACATCAAAAAAACATCAGTTTAACAATGTGTAGACAGAATTATACAATACTCCGTTCAGTAAGCAGTAATAAAAAAAATCAAGTGAAAGAGTCGGTGTTGGGAATTGCGTATTTCATGTGTATTTGATATCTTCAAAAGAACAAGTCACAGTTACAGTCTGAAACAGCATTCGGTACGGTCAATACAGTGAAAGTCAAAACGCATGGTGGTACAAAAATGTGTGTCCATCATAAAACGTTCAATGTTGTGCGTCGATCACTAGATGTATGACCAAGTTGGTTTCGTGATGGTGGATATTAAGTATACCGGGTTTACCGGTTTTATCGGGAAATCGTCTTTTTGTTCTTTATCATTTCTCTTTCATTTACTGTAACAAGTTTACGCTCCTTCTTTGCTCCTAAGCATAATAAAAAAACAAATGTATGTTCCATTTTTGTACATTTCGTACATTGTTTCCAAAACAAGATGTACCCACGCTAATCAAATATATTTCGAATATTTTTTATCTTATATTTTATTAATATATTTTATACACTACACTGTAATATTGTAAAAAATTCCTTGCTTATATATTACAATTGCAAAATTATTGCCAGTCATCTCGACAATTTTTCTTTTAATAAATGAACAATTATTTCTAATTATTTTTAATAAACATTTTTAGTGTAAACAGAGTTAAAACTAAAATAAAAAAATTTTAATGGTAAAATGCCTTCTATGATCTATAAAGAGCTGCTTCAAAAAAATACGCGTTTCACAATTTTCATCAATAAAATAAAACATTTTATAACAATCATAAATACACACGAGGTGATAACACATTTTACCGAAAAACGGAATTTGACTATGCTAGCATGCGCTGCAGTAATGATGCAACAATTACGCAAAGAATGAACATTTGCACGGCAATGTTTCAAGGGTATACCTTGTTTTGGAATTTGCTTTGAGCACAATAATTTTAACTTATAGTTGTAAAAGGTGTCAATGGTACATAAAGTACAAGTTGATGTACTTTCTCTCTTTGTACGCAATATAACTAAAAGACAAAAGTACAGAAATTTAATTATAAACAAAAAATTTCTTTGCTAAACCTAAGGCACAGGTTAATATCTAAAAGTCTGTGCGAACAGGTAGCATTGGCATTCTTTTTCTCTTCCAAAACAGTTCTACTTACTTCATTGTCTCTTCAAAAAATTTACGTATATTATATACAGAAAAATATCGCATTTCAATTAAGAACAATTAACGATAGAACACTTCATGCTAAGCATACGCTATCGTCAGTCCTCACAAAGACGTCGAGTTTCACAGCGACGTTTGGTGCAAACATCTCGGACAGCTCACCGTCCGAGAGAATGTGATGTATCGTTAATAATTATCAACACTTTGAAGGAATAAAGAGAGATAAAAATCGGATTCAAAAAAAGGAGTTGTTGCACATCTCCGATTCGTCTGCGCAAGAATCAGTTCAAGAAACTAATAGCACCTAACATGTCAAGTATGCACATTGTTTCTCCCGATCCTCGCAGAGAGAGGGAAATGCACAGAGAGAATAATCTTTCTGCGATCCATGTTCTTTATGGTGCAACAATTAACAAACGCCCAACGACATCAACCGTTCGCACAGGCCTCTTAAAATAACAGAAACACGGATTGTCCGTGTGCACGCGCGCGCGCGCGCGCGCGCACAATGCATCGTGTGTAAACGAACATGTAAAAGGACAAGAAGTAGCAGTAGTAGAGTAGCAGTTAAACGTTTCAGTAACGTGGTTGCGCGAACGTGAGCGAATAGTTAAATATATATTTATAGGTAGGTAGTTGGAGTAGTTTTCCCTGGATGCAGGCCCTTGACGTGGTCAAGTGAGTAGTCTTTAAATTCGTCTCATTTTGTTGCGTGCGTCCGGCTTGTGTATACCAGTCAGTCTGTGAAGACAAACAGCAAACATTACATTTTCTCCTGCCGTTTTTCCCCCCCTGCCCGAGGAGGAGGTGGACAAGGAGGAGGTAGAGACAGATAGAAAAGAGAGAGAGAGAGAGAAAGAGTGACAACGTCGGCAAAACAACGGTGTCGGGGTGTACTACTATTACAAAGAAACGCTTCTCGTTTCTTTCGCGTCGCACTACGCTCATCTACTACTTACGAGATACACATTATTTTTTTGTATAAAACACGCTCAATTCTCGTCCTCGTCCATTCGTAATCGCTTTCGCCGATCCTCGCCGACGTTCCGTTCCTCCGCCTCTAGTACTTTCAGCCGAGAACCACAGATCTCTTGACCGTGCAGGACCTGAAATCGTATTTTGAATTTGGAATACTTGCACGATGTGTTCTGAATATAAATTCTTCTTCATATATGCATGTAAATGCTTTATGATAATACAGAGACTGCAAAGAGAGAGAGAGAGAGGAAAAAAAAAAAGAGATCGTACCTCAATGGCCTCGTTCGCGCTGTCGATGCTCGCATATTTGGCATAGCCGCAGTTCTTTCCGGGTAACATATATACATCTATGAGATTCCCAAACCGGCAAAATGCGTCCTTCATGGCGTAGATGGGCGGCACCGGTGGACCACACACGATAAAGCATCTCTTAGCAACTTCGGCGTCTATACTCGCCATCGGCTGCACCGGCGGTAGCTTCACGCACATGTGATCTAAACCTGGAGTGAGAAACGCAACAACGCCTCACACACATATTATACCTTCGGCGCACCAAGCGCGCTCATGAGATCGTCAAGGTCTACTCACTCGGTGCTGTCAGTCCGGCCGCTTGTATCAACGATGTTGCCTGAGCGATAGTCTCCGCCAGATGTGCCAGATCCGTCCTCGCGCTGGTGACGCTGCCGGTTGTCGAACCGCCGGGTTTCACCGCGTTCTTCGGCGGCGCGCTCGTCAAGTCCGGCTTGACGATCATCCGGTGACCAGGCGGATACTCGAAACCGTGAAACTTCTCGCGCGCGTACGCCGCCGCGCTTGGATTGTTATACACGACGACTGCCTGGCCACGCGGCATTCTGTATCTCACATCGGCCTTCAAGTGGCAGTAGTCCAAGCCAGGCACTATGTCGAACAGCTTCCACAGCTGATCCTGGTTTAACGCCGGATGCGCGATCACCTGCAGACGCATGTAGCCCTCCGAATTGGGATAATTGGTGGCAATCTCCAGACTGATGCTGCTCTTGCCAAAGTTTGACGTACCGTAACTGTTGCCAGTACCGTCATACGCGGTAGACAGGCCGTTATTGTACTTTGCATCGTTGTGATCAGGTTTTGGTTTCTTCGGCTCGGCAAACACCGCCTTGTACTTCCTGTCGCATTCCTCAAACGCGCGTGCCGCACTTGACACCTTCTTGAACTTTACATAACCAAAACCTTTGGACTCGTTTGTGCTGCGATCCTTCACCACAGTGGCATACTCGATCGCACCGAACTTGGAGAATTCCTGTTGCAGTTCGCTGTCGGTCATCGATTTTGGCAATACGCAGAATAAACGGACCCACCTCTCTTCTTCATTTGTCTCACGCACTGAGCCTTGATCTCGACTACAAAACAAGACACCAAAACAGTTACAGAGAGTGCTCTGAATTAAAATACGTGCAAAATAGAATAAAATGAAGCCTTACTTCGAAGCGATCATCACTTTAATAGGTCTGCCAACGGAGCCCAGCATCTTGCCATTCATCTCTTCCAGAGCGAACGCCGCCTCTGATGTTTTGGAGAACTTGATGTACGTAACACCTGAGTAAAACACAACGCGCGATTAGAAGGAAACGCTGACATACATCGGCAACAAGAGTGAGATAAGAGGAAGCTTGTTTTTTAAGCAGAAATAAAAACACTCAACGCTCGGAGAAAAAAGAAAGAGAGATAACGCGCTTATCGATTAGCTGTTATCCGGCCAGGATCATCACCTTTATTCTCGCCCGTGCTACGGTCCTTAACCACCCAGATGTCCTCGATCTTGCCGAACTTCTCGAACGCCTTCCTGAGATCGTCCTCCTCCAGGCTCTTGTGACAGATGACGAACAGCCGCGAGTTCGGCGGGTCGTCATTTTTCGAGCGCAGATCCGTCTGCGAGTAATACGAATCCCGTTCTCTGTGGTCGGCCATTTTACCAAGTAACGAACGCGTGCCAGCGCTGCTACGAGCGCGGACTATCTACCGCCGCCCGTCTACGGTCACCGGTCGGCCTCAGGATCGCGATAGAGGGGCACCCCCACTTCACCTCTTCCTTCCTCCTTTCCCTTCAAGGTTCAAGCAGGTCTGCTCCTCTTGACGCTATTACTCTACACTTAAAATGCGACAAATATACTCGAGATTCGACGAGGAGAAAGACAGATAGAGAGAAAGAGAGAGAAGAAAAAATTAGCAAGGAAATGTTAAGACGCACCTGTGAATCACGTATTTACGCCTGACATTTAGCGCTAAATGTGATCGGGTGATCCCCTCTTACTTGTTTGTCTCATATGCAAACTTCGTGCGAGTTTATCGCGAATATCTGGAAAAAAAGCATGCAACTAAACCAACAATCAACAGGAATGAATTTCCATTTTAATTGTTCCAGACGATTAAAATGCATTTTTATGGCGTTACGGAATACTGTTACGGAATATAAAAATTGATAACTGTTAATCCTAAGAATATCCTAAGAATACAAACTTTGATCTAAACAACTCAGGAAAATTCATATTGAAATAAAATTTATTTTATTTTATCATTTAAACCAAAGTCTCCTAATTCTTTCGATTGTTAAATAGATTATCGAAATTTAAACTTTTCTAGAAAAAAAAACACATTCAAAAATATGTTTTAATGGAATTTATAAACAAAAATATACAACGTTAGTCAGACAATTTATATATTGAAGACTTTCAGTTTTTTTATATTACTTAAGCCTTTGCGGTCTCAAGCCAGGATATTGCCGGCAAAGCATCTTTTCCATTGTGGTCAGGATATTTCGGCACGCGCCGCTCACCGCAAGGTGAGCTAATACTGCAGTGAGAAAATTGTTTCTGCAAAATTATGTAGCAAATAGCAGTCAAACTTTTTTCTTATATTTTTAAAATTTAATAAATGAGATTTAATGTTTGAGATGCGCAACTGTTTGTGTGATTAAAAATATAAAATAAATATTCATGTGCAAAAATTCTTTCCGGCGTGGCAAAAATATGTAAGATAGACACATCGACCTTGATGTTAAAAAAAGACATAAGCTGCTATTAATATTCTCTTTCAAAAAATCTTGTATTGAAAGAGATTCGGATAGCCGATTTATGCTTTACTAAAAACATGGGAGAAATTCTTTGAATACATTTAGAATGATGTAATGAATCCGTCAGATGTTACGCAGCAATGTTCGAACAAACACGATTAGATTTTGCGGATTTGAAATAATAACCCGTTCGAAAGCCATGAATCATTCGAAATCGCGTTACGGCAGAGAGCACGCGGAAAAATTGGGTTGCGCAAAATTACTTCCGAGTTGTTGTGTTTCGCAAGTATAGAAGCATCGGTGCAACTGAAAGTGTCATGCTCCAATATTTTTACGTCCGCGACAGAGAAAGAGAAATGTAGCAATGACGGGTTCACCGTAAATAACGGTGTTTTGCTAATTTAACCGCTTACGTTTCCACTTTCTTGCAATCTTTTATCTCTTTTATTTTCTTGCGTCAATTCGCCACAAGCGAATGGTGAAACTGCGCCGACGTACGATAATATTTGCGATGATTTCATTATCGCCTGAATAAAAAAAATATAATTAAATCACGAAAAGACGATAAAACGTGAAAACAAATCGTTTTATGTCGCATAATTTCGCCGAGTGCAAAACTCGTTTACGTCGACTTTTACAGCGGCGAACAGCGCCTCGCGCGTGTTGATTATATAATCTCTGCCTCCAAATCGGAGTTTCCTAAAATATACATGCAACCTGCATGAAACGCAACGCGTTGTGCGCGCACGGAAGCATCTTCGCAGAATATACGTCGTAATTGACGAGAATAAAAATATTTTGCGCAGAAAGATCTTTGGTGGAAAATATCTTGTTATTTATCCTCATCCATATATATATATATTTCTTCATAGATAAAGTATCGATGTACAACAACAATCCAAAATATACATCTTTTCTGTAACAAACGTTTAATGTTATAGATATACGTTAAATGTTATAGATATACAGAGTGGACTATTTGTTAACATCCTGTATATTTTTCTGAAAAAAAGAGAGCATGAAAAAGAAGAGATATTAGAAGATGTAAGATATAAAAGATATATCTTTTTTAATGGTGTTTTATATTAAACTTTTAGTATACTTATGGAATCACGCATGTTGAATTATTCACTCGTGTCACAGCTAGGTAGCTATCACATACATTAAATTACTAGAATTCGTAAATTACCTGTATCACACTGTATTGTCACATTTTTTTTCTAGTAATTGTTTCACGCGTATGTTATCAAGTCACAATTGCAAAATTCTGCGAGTTTACGCGTCATATGTGGAAGCGGACACTTTTCCTCCGTGTCCGGTCCAGTTGGTGTGGACGAATTTACCTTCCTGGCCGAGTAGTTCATATGTATGGGCGCCAAAATAGTCCCGTTGAGCCTGCAGCAAGTTCGCCGGTAATCGGGCGGTTCTGAACCCGTCGTAGAAGGCCAGAGCCGTCGACAGGGCGGGAGTTGGTATACCCATTGTTACAGCTGCGCTTACTACTACTCTGGCACTCCGATGACACACATCCATAGCCTTAGCAAAGAAGTCGTCCAACAACAAGTTGGATAACTTGGGATTTTTGTCATACGCCGCTTTTATATTTCCTAAGAATGCGCTGCAAAAAAATTTATCATTATTCTCCCAACATTTTTCACAATTTCTTGATACGAAATATCTGAAGATACTTAAATGTTGCGTTTATCAACGAATTTGATACAACCTCTATGACACTAGATATAAAATGTTTTTGATACGTTCTACAGCCTTGACACTTATGTCTCGTCGTCATTTGCTTTAAAAGGAAATGTAGGTCACATTGAAAACGATTGGCGTGACATTGACTCAACTCTATAATTAAGAATCGCGTAAATCTTTGCAGATCGGATGTTACCTTCTTATAATACATCCACCGCGCCACATGAGCGCTATTCCGCCGTAATTCAAGTTCCAATTGTGGACCTTGGCGGCTTCTCTCAACAGCATGAAGCCCTGCGCATATGAGATGATTTTTGCGGCGTATAGAGCCTTCCGCAAGTCCTCGAGGAATTGTTTCTTGTCGCCCTTGTACACCGGATCCGGGCCGGACAGTATTGCACTCGCCTCCACGCGCTCACTTTTCAACGCGGACAAGCATCTGGAGAACACCGATTCGCCGATCAGCGTGACCGGCACGCCGTAATCCAGCGCGGCGATCGCCGTCCACTTGCCGGTACCCTTCTGGCCGGCGGTGTCTCTGATACGCTCGAGCAAGTGGCCCTTCTCGTCCTTATACTTAAGTATATCCCGCGTGATCTCGATCAGGAACGAATCCAGCTCGCTCTTATTCCACTCGTCGAACACCGCGCTCATCTCTCCCTGAGTGAGCTGCAGGCCGCTGCGCATCAGGTGATACGCTTCGCAGATAATTTGCATATCGCCGTATTCAATGCCGTTGTGCACCATCTTGACGAAGTGTCCCGCGCCGGTCTCGCCGACCCAATCGCAACACGGCTCTCCGTCCGCTTTCGCGGCTATCGACTAAAATACAATGCAATAAAATTATAGGTTTTTGGTATTAAATGTAAACAATGATAGATCAGTATTGCCATACTTGGAAAATATTTTTAATATGCGGCCACGCTTTAGGATTGCCACCAGGCATCAAGGAGGGTCCATATCTGGCACCGTCCTCTCCTCCACTCACTCCACTGCCCACAAAAAGTAATCCTTTCCGCTCCAAGTCCTTGGTACGTCTCTCGGTATCTTGATATTCTGAATTGCCACCATCGATAATAATATCTCCAGGAGACAAGAGAAGTTCTAATTTTGCGATAAATGCGTCTACTGCTGCACCAGCTATATTGTATAGGAACAAATTATATGATTAAAATACTTAATGATCTCTACATGGTTATATAGATTTTCAATTAAAATAAATTAACAAAAAAATAAAAAGAGTATACCTTTAACTAGCAACATTACTATCCTTGGACTCTTCAGTTTACTGATCATCTCCTCCAAGCTATAAGCGCCAACCACTTTCGTACCCTTGGCTTCATTTTCAAGGAAGGACTTGACTTTGTCTGTGGTACGATTATATGCACATACAACAAATCCGTGATCATTCATGTTCAAAATTAAATTCTGTCCCATGACTGCCAAGCCGATAAGGGCAATATCTGCTACCCTAAAAAATAAATATTTTTTGTTAATTAAAAGCAATAAAAAGAAATCCAATCTCTTTAGCACTATATATATAATCTAAAATAATTCCATAACTATTTTAAACAGTTGCACAATGCAAGATATTATTCATAACTTGCTTACACAATATAAGAACTTCAAATATGATAATTGCAATATATAATTTGTAGAAATTATTAATAAATTAAAATACACTTATTCCATAAAGCAATTTTTAATTCATGTTTAAATTAGATATTTCGCTGATTCAACAATAAAACAATTGTGAATGTGAAATCAAAGATGAAATGACTTGATAAATGATTTTAGTTTTATACATGTTTCAAATTATGGCAAAAAAATACTCACGGTTTACTCATTTTTGTGGATGATCTACAGTTGTAATCGATGACAAAACGTAATTAATGTAAAGCTGAAAGAAATTTTTGTAAAGCAAACTCGAAGAGCAACAAGTGGTCGTGCCTTTCAACTTGTTAGAGGACGTGTGTTCGGACGATGTAGTTCGCTGTGTCAGCTGATATGTCGCGAGCCAATCGCCAAGCGCGCAAGATCAGCAATGTTCAAAACCACGTCGCCATCGGCAAAATTTGTTATAACGATGATGCAGCGATACTACACGTGCCGTATTGCGGTTTCGTGACGTAAGAACGTAAGGATTATCTAATCAGGAGTCTCAGCCATATCCCAAACGGTTGTTGCGAATTTCTTTCGAGAACAGAGATATTGTCATAAGTTGAATTCTGACTAATAGCGGCTTCTATCCAGAATGTTGAATCCTCGAATCTCTAATTGTTTTTCTGAAACGATGTAATTTTCGATGGTTAATAAGATGTTATC